CCTGGTTTAGACCTGGTTTAGTCCTGGTTTAGTCCTGGTTTAGTCCTGGTTTAGTTCTGGTTTAGACCTGGTTTAGACCTGGTTTAGTCCTGGTTTAGTCCTGGTTTAGACTGGTTTATTCCTGGTTTAGTCCTGGTTTAGACCTGGTTTAGTCCTGGTTTAGTCCTGGTTTAGACCTGGTTTAGACCTGGTTTAGACCTGGTTTAGTCCTGGTTTAGACCTGGTTTAGTCCTAGTTTAGACCTGGTTTAGACCTGGTTTAAACCTGGTTTAATACGTCATCTTTTTAGAACAATACTTTCTTGTGTTTTGTTTGTTGTTTTGTGATCGTTGGTGTTTGTGTCGTGGTCACATGACTCTGGATCTGTTGTTTCTCACCGTTGTTTCTATTTTTAACCAACTGTAAATAATCTGTGTGTCATTCGTCCATTTGTTTTTCAACAATAAAACCAGAAAAATATAAGAAAATGAGAAAAACAACAACAACTATTTTCTTCATTATTTGTCTCCAAAACCAAAATGAAAAAATGATGATTGTTTTTTAAACCAGTTTTCCATTTTAAACCAGGTAACCAGGTTTTAAAACTAAAAAATGAAAAAAAGGAAAAAAAAATTGAGGTCTAACCTAAAGGTCTAAACCAGGACTCAGGAAACCAGGAGGTCTAAACCAGGTCTAAACCAGGACTAAACCAGGACTAAACCAGGTCTAAACCAGGTCTAAACCAGGTCTAAACCAGGTCTAAACCAGGTCTAAACCAGGACTAAACCAGGACTAAACCAGGAGGTCTAAACCAGGACTAAACCAGAACCAGACTAAACCAGGTAGGACTAAACCAGGACTAACCAGGACTAAACCAGGACTAGGACTAAACCAGGACTAAACCAGGACTAAACCAGGACTAAACCAGGTCTAAACCAGGACTAAACCAGGACTAAACCAGGTCTAAACCAGGACTAAACCAGGACTCTAAAACCAGGTCTAAACCAGGACTAAACCAGGTCTAAACCAGGTCTAAACCAGGTCTAAACCAGGACCAGGTCTAAAACCAGGTCTAAACCAGGACTAAACCAGGACTAAAACAGGACTAAAAAAACCAGGTCTAAACCAGGTCTAAACCAGGAGGTCTAAACCAGGTCTAAACCAGGACTAAACCAGGACTAAAGGACTAAACCAGGTCTAAACCAGGTCTAAACCAGGACTAAACCAGGACTCTAAACCAGGTCTAAACCAGGACTAAACCAGGACTAAAACTAGGTCTAAACCAGGAATTAAACCAGGTCTAAAACCAAGGATTCTAAACCAGGACTAAAACAAGGACTAAACTCAGGTCTAAAACCAGGACTGAACCAGGACCTGAACCAAGACTAAACCAGGTCTAAACCAGGAGTGTCAGGACAGGCCTGGAGCTGCGCCTGCGTAGACTGTGGGGTGATCAGGACTGAGGCTGGGACCAGACCGGGACCAAGACCAGGACTGAGACTGGGACCATTCTTGGGACAAGATCAGGACTTAGACTAGGACTGAGGCCGGGACTGAAACCGAGACCAGAACGGGACTGAGACCACGACTGAGACTGGTTCAGACTTGGTTTAGTCCTGATCCAGTCCTATTTTAGTCCTGGTTTAGTCCTGGTTTAGTCCTGGTTTAGTCCTGGTTTAGACCTGGTTTAGTCCTGGTTTAGACCTGGTTCAGTCCTATTTTAGTCCTGGTTCACTCCTGGTTTAGACCTGTTTTCAGTCCTGGTTTAGTCCTTTATCCGTTTTTTCCATTTTTCATTTAAACACAAAATTAAAAACTGAAAAAAAAAAAATCATTATCTGTTTTTTTGTTTTTTTTCACTTTCTCTTATTATTATAATTTTTTTTATTTTGAAAAACAAATGAACAAAAATAACACACATATATATATATATATATATATATATATATATATATATATATATATATATATATATATATATATATATATATATATATATATATATATATATATATATATATATATATATATATATATATATATATATATATATATATATATATATATATGTATATATACGTGTGTTTTTATTGTCCGGTCGGTTTGTGCCGACATCAGCAGCTGCTTTTCTTTTTTCTGGGGACTGAGCTCTGTAGCTTTAAGCCCCGGACACAGAGCGCAGTGTGACTCAGCCTCTACACTCTCACACACACACACACTTTTTACACACACACACACTCTCTCTCTCACACACACACTCTCTCTCTCTCACACACACTCTCTATCCTCCGTCTGTGCCTCTCTCCTCTCCTCTGGTCTTCTTCTTCTTCTCTTTTGGACAGAATGCTGCACTTTTCCTCTCGGTCTCTGGATTAAAAGTGTGTGTTTGTGTTTGTGTTTGAGTTTGAGTGTGTGTGTGGATTTGTGCGCGTCATGCTGCGTGTGTGTGTGCTGTGCGCCGAGCGGCTCCAGACGCCCGACGACGATATCAGCGATGCCTACTGCACCGTCACCTTCGAAGGTAATCTCATTTGGATTGAATTTGATTTGAAACCTGACATTTGTGTGATTAAATGAGAGATGTGGGCGTTTGTTTGAGGACGCTGCCCTGCGTAGACCGTCAGGTGATCAGGACCGAGACCTGGACCAGACCCGGAATGAGACCAAGACTGAGACCGGTTTAGTCCTGGTTTAATCCCATTTTAGTCCTGGTTTAGTCCTGGTTTAATCCTGTTTCAGTCCTGTTTTAGTCCTGGTTCAGTCCTGGTTTAGTCCTGTTTTAGTCCTGGTTCAGTCCTAGTTCAGTCCTGGTTTAGTCCTGGTTTAGTCCTGGTTTAGTCCTGGTTTAGTCCTGGTTCAGTCCTGGTTTAGACCTGTTTTAGTCCTGGTTCAGTCCTAGTTCAGTCCTGGTTTAGTCCTAGTTTAGACCTGTTTTAGACCTGTTTTAGTCCTGGTTTAGTCCTGGTTTAGTCCTGGTTTAGACCTGTTTTAGTCCTGGTTCAGTCCTAGTTCAGTCCTGGTTTAGTCCTAGTTTAGACCTGTTTAGTCCTGTTTTAGTCCTGGTTTCAGTCCTGTTTTAGACCTGTTTTATTCCTGTTTTAGTCCTGTTTAGTCCTGTTTTAGTCCTGGTTTAGTCCTAGTTTAGTCCTGGTTTAGTCCTAGTTTAGACCTGTTTTAGTCCTGATTTAGTCCTGTTTTAGTCCTGGTTTTAGTCCTAGTTTAGACCTGTTTTAGTCCTGTTTTAGACCTGTTTTAGTCCTGGTTTAGTCCTAGTTTAGACCTGTTTTAGTCCTGGTTTAGTCCTGGTTTAGTCCTGGTTTAGTCCTAGTTTAGACCTGGTTTAGACCTGGTTCAGTCCGTTCATTTGGATTTTAAACCAGTTTTATTATTTTATTTTTATTCTGATAAAGTGAGTTGTGTTTGTTTGAGCTGCTGTGGCTCCGGCGCCGCAGCTGTTGGGTTTATTATTGGAGCACGCGGCCGTGTGTCGACCCCGGTTTTGGGGCGGGGTCTCCAGTGCACTGCAAAAAATAAATATCCAACGCTCAGAACGCTCTCTTCCACCTTGTGATGTCATGACGTGGGAGTTTTCAAGCTGGTATCTGGTCATATCGGTGTGTCAAAGCCTGATCCCCTCAGATCTCAGAGGCTCAGCAGGTCTGGTCTGGTCTGGTCTGGGTCTGGTCTCTGGGTCTGGGTCTGGGTCTGGGTCTGGTCTGGGTCTGGTCTGGGTCTGGGTCTGGTCTGGACTTGGATGGAGACACTGGGAAAATCAGGAGCCACAGGAGTGTGTGTGTTGTGTCCTTAGGCAAGACACTTCACCCACATTGTCAAGTATGAAAGTGGAGTGTGTGTGTGAGTGATGGTGGTGGTGGGAGGGGCCGATGGCGCAGATTGGCAGCCTCGCTTCCGTCAGTCTGTCCCAGGGCAGCTGTGGCTACAGTAGTAGTTTACACCACTGAGTGTGAAGTGACTGAATAATGATTTGTAAAGTGCTTTGGGGATCTTGAAACACGCTGTATAAATGAAATCAATCAATCACGTGAACAGCTCTTTTTTTTAAGTAAGTCTTTATACAGCACTTTTCACAGACATTTTTGTCACAAAGGCTGCGTTCAGACTGCAGCCTGAAGGTTTGATGCATGGACCAGAGTTTTGCGTCTTGGCCAGTGTAGACAGAAACGCTATGGTGGAGTGTGTTCAACTTTTCCACTCTGGAGGCTGGTTTCAGATTTTTGCATTTTTAAGCCCCAAAAACGCCTTCACTGTCTAAACCAGTGGTGTCAAACATACGGCCCGGGGGCCAGATCCGGCCCTCCAACCAAGACCTTTAATCTGGTCCTCGGCTGATTTTCTACTAAAATATCTGAATTCTATTTTCTATTAAAATCTTGTTAATTTTCTGTGGTGTTTATCACAGCAGCGTCTCTGTACGTAAAAACCTCGTCCTTCTCCTTCTCAATCTCCTCCTTAAAACAAGTAAGTTGTTCATGTTCTGGCTCCGGTACGAGAGGAACTTTAAAATCTCCAGGTGCTCGATGCTGCGTCCATGTTTGGACAACTTCTGTAAACACAGAGACGCTCGCTGCGGTTGACGTCGTCGTGTCTCCAGTGTCACATGTGGGACACTTTTGGACCGTTTAATGTTCACACTGGAGTCACATACAAGTCACATTTAACTGGAAATGTGAACGACCTCGAAAAACATCGGATTTCACAAAAAAATTGGAATTGAGCGTTAAACCCTGCAGTCTGAACGTAGCCAAAGACACTTTCCAGAACATTCTTCATCATTATTCATTCACTCTACACCTGGTGATGGTAAAACACTGTTGTAGCCACAGCTGCCCTGGGACAGACTGACAGAACGTGCAGCTGCCAGACAATCAGCGCCATCAATCCCTCCGACCACCACCATCACACACACACACCACTTTCATATTAGGCAATGTGGGCGAAGTGTCTTGCCTAAGGACACAACGACAGTTATTCCCACTGGCTCCTCCTGTGGCTCCTGGAAGTCCTAGCAGTGTCCCATCCAAGTCCTGACCAGTAGTAAAGATTATAGATTTTTAACTTTTAGAGCCTCTCAAAGTTTTATTTTGTTGTGTTTTAGTTTTATTTGTGCACATTGGGGGAATCTTTAATCGCTTTTTTCAAGACAAAGTTCATTCCTGGTTTAGATCTTGATTTAGATCCTGATGTAGCTCTTGGTTTAGATCCTCCTGTGGCTCCTCATTTTCCCAGTGTCTCCATCCAAGTCCAGACCAGACCCAGACCAAAAGGCTGAAATGATCCAAATGATTCTAGTGAAGGTGTGTGGAGTTTAAAAACACACTGGAGCACTTCCTGTATCACCTCATGACACACTCATGAACATCTCATGAACATCTCATGAACATCTCATGAACACCTCATGAACATCTCATGAACATCTCATGATACACACATGTTCCACCTTGTGATGTGGAGTGTTTTCAGTGTGAGGCTCCGTTACACTGCAGGGTTTAACGCTTAATTCAGATATTTACTGTGTTTCTTGGACTATATGGCTACGTTCAGACTGCAGGGATTCCATGAAAAAATCTGAATTGAGCGTTAAGTCCTGCAGTCTGAACGTAGCCTTAGTCAGACAAATGTTTCCTTTTTGGTTCTTCCTGTGGATCAATCCTGCCCATCACCTTCACCTTTCACTATTTTTCGATTCCGTTGGGAAGAGAAACAGTTTGAACGGAGGTTTGAGTCACACACATCTGATTCCCTTTTGCATTTATGGAGTTTTGCAAACAAAATTTCTCGAGTCGTTTTCCGCTGTTTGGATCCAACATCCACATAATTACGATGTCCGAATCCCAAAACTAAAATATGACAATATCAGAACCAGAAACAAAAGTGATATGGTTCAAAAGACTTGAAAAGATCGACTTTGACAATAGACACATCCCACTTGTCTGGAATGTTTCACAGTGTGGCATTAATATTAAAAGTTCCAAGTCAGATCTGTGGAGATTGGCGACCCCGTTCCCAGTCAGAATTCCTGTTTTTCGAGGTATTTTTGAGCGATAAAACCTGCACCTGTAACTGAATAAATGTGAAGTGGAGCTGTTTAAAGTCACACTGCGGAACATTCCAGACAGAGCGATGACGTCTCCATAGAAACAGAGCAGAAGACGAACCCCAAACCGAAAAGTTACTCTCACTTGACTTGCAGTTTACCCAAATCCTTTTTACACTTTTTCTTGTTTTCTCGGAGCGCGACGTTGTACTTGTACTCGAGTATTATTGTTTTGAAGTATTTTGAAGTATTTTGGAGGAGTGCAGTGACTCAGAGGGACCACAGGGGGCAGCGTGGAGCAGCGTGGAGTGGAGAGTTTAAGGGTTTAAGGTCAAAGTGAAAGTAAAAATAGGTCACGAATTTGAACAACTGCAGGAACCTGAACCCATGACTGAACCAAACACACAAGAGACTGTGTGAACGGATCACGCCATCACGGACGGAGAGAGAGAGAGAGAGAAGAAGGAGGGAGGAGGGAGGGAGGGAGAGAGAAGGAGGGAGGGAGGGAGAGTAAGGGTGAGAGAGAGGGACGAAGAGAGGGAAAAGAAGAGGGAGAGAGGGAGAAGGAGAAAGGTGAGGGAAGGGGGGATGACTAAGCAAGGAAGAGAGAGAGAAGAGAAGAGAGAGGGAGGAAAGAGGAGAGAGAGGAGGGAGAGAGAGAGAGGGGGAGAGAAAGAGAGGAGAGGGAGGGAGGGAGGGGGGAGAGAAAGAGAGAGGAGAGAGAGGGAAAGAGAGAGCGGGAGGGGGGAGGGAGAGAGGGAGGAGGGAGAGAGAGGAGAGAGGGAGAGAGAGAAGAGAGGAGAGAGGGGGAGAGAGAGAGGGGAGAGAGAGAGAGAGAAAGAGAGAGGAAGAGAGAGAGAGGGAGAGAGAGAGAGGGAAAGAGAGAGAGGGAGGGAGAGAAAAGAGGGAGGGAGAGGGAGGGGGGAGAGAGAGAGAGGGAAGAGAGAGAGAGAGAGAGGGGAGAGAGAGAGAGAGGGAGAGAGAGAGGGAAAGGGAGGGAGAGAAAGAGAGAGGGAAAGAGAGAGAGGGAGGGGGAGAGAAAGAGGGAGAGAGAGAGGAAAGAGAGGAGGGAGGGGGAGAGAAAGAGGGAGAGAGAGGAAGAGAAGAGGGAGGGGGAAGAAGAGAAGGGAGAGGGAGGGGGAGAGAAAGAGGGAAAGAGGGGAGAGAAAAGAGGAGGGGAGAGAGGGAGGGGGAGAGAGAGAGAGAGGGAGAGAGGAAAGAGAGAGAGGGAGGGGGGAGAGAAAGAGGGAGGAGAGAGAGGGAAAGAGAGAGAGGAGAGGGGAGAGAGGAGAAAGAGGAGAGAGAGGAGGGAGAGAAAAAGGGAGAGAAGAGAGAGAGAGAGAGGGAGGGGAAGAGAGAGAAGAGGAGAGAGAAGAAGAGAGAGAGGGAGAGGGAGAGGAGAGAGAGAGGGAGGGAGAGAGGAGGGAGAAAAGAGGGAGGAGAGAGGGAAAGAGAGAGAGAGGAGG